TGAGATGCTTTGTCACCTTGGTTGTTCATGATGTTTAATGGACTATTTCTCTGCCTGGGCATTAATGGAAGTGTATTCTGCTTTTTTTTCCCCCCCAGAAAGAAGATTTATTGTATAAATGTCTTTATATAATAAATAGTGTGTTAAGTCTCTTTAGCCTGCTACAAAGGAGGCACTTTTCTTTTGACTTCTAAGCCTCTTGGATTCCTGCTTTATTTAAAGCCTAAATAATGTTTTTTTAATTTTCTTGTAGAAATTTAATCACACTCTCTACTTTCAATTTCAGTCCCTGTCAGTGTTAGCAACAGTTTTGCTAATGTTTGTTCAGATTCCCCTGGGGCTTTGTGATTTTGGTCTTGGAGGGTACGGGGGGAGGGCCCCTCTGGGTTGGGGGTTGGGGTCTGCAGCTCAGCCTCAATTTTGCAACTGGGGCCGGTAAAAATCAACTGTTGTTTTCTGCGGTCCCGTCCCGCTTCTCTGCTTTCTGCCCTGATGACTGGGCCCTGCTGCTGGCTGTGTAGAAGTCCCGGCACTTCTAGTCAGGGTTGTTCAGGGAAGTCACCACACCTTCATCTCTCCCCCTCCTCTTGCAAGGAGCTCCGGCAGCTGCTTTGTGCACTCTCTCTTCTCCTCTGATACCCTATGATGTAAGTAAAGTTAAGCTCAATGTTGTCCCAGAGGTCCCTTAAACTATCTTAATATTTTTTTGTTTTTCTTTTTTTGTTATTACAATTCAGTGTTTTCTGCTACCTTGTCTTCCAGATCCCTGATTCTGTTCTCTGCTTCATCTAAATTATTGTCAATTCCATCTAATGTATTATTTAGTTCATTTACTGTATTCTTCATTTTTGATTGGTTCTTTTTATGGTTTCTATTTCTGTGTGTTAAGTTCCCAATGACTTCATCTATTTTTCCCCTAAGTTCTTTGGACATCCTTAGGAGCAATGTTTTGAACTCTGTATCTGGTAGATTGTTTGCCCCCATTTTATTTAGTTCTTTTTCTTGGCAGAGCAGCCTTATATGGTAGGTGTCCCATGGGGTCCAGTGGCACAGACCCCATGGTCACCTGAGCCGAGTGCTACAGGCGTGTCCCTTGTTTGGGTTGTGTGTGCCTTCCTGTTGTAGTTGAGCCTTGGTTGCTGTTGGTACATTAGTGTTTGGGATTGACTCTCAGCCTGCCTGGCTGTGAGGACCGGACATGCCTGGAGAGGATGAACTGTTGTGCAGTGACTAATCCCATGGAGCGGGATTTGTTTGAGTTGTGCTGTGGTGTGGTCTGAAGCTGGTCACTTGGTTTGTTGGTTTTGGGGCCTCTTGGGAGAGGCTCTGCTGGATTCCTACCCCAACTGCTTCCTGTGCATAGCCCAGGGTCAGCTGGTAGGTACTACAAAGTGACCCACATTTAGTAGCTGCCTGCGCTGGGCTCTGAGGCACATGGGAGAGGCTATATTCCAAACCGAAGCTGGCTGCCTCTAGCGTTGGGCCTGGGTCACCTAGCAAAAGGTATACTGAGGTCAGCTGCTGTTTGTTTGCGGTTTGTGGACCTTTGAGAGATTTTAGGAACATCTTTAGCGTGGGCTGAGGCCTCCTGCTTGTGAGGAATAGCAGTCGAAAGAGAATTGGGCTGGTGCGTAAGTTAGGCAGGATCTGTAGAATTGGGGAGCGCTGTTAGCCAGCATGGAGACTCAGATTTGGCACCAGCAAGATAAGTAGGGGGAGAACTCTACGTAGGAACAAAGCACCTGCCTGCCAGCTGTATGGGGGAGGGGCTCAACAAAGGAACAGTGGTGCCTGCCAGCACTTCTGCCCCTCGCCCTGAAGGCAGACAGTTCAGTTCCTCTCCTGGCTTTTGGAGCTGCTGTTTCTTCACTCGAGCTTAGGGCAAGTGTTTGTGAGCAAGTGAGTTTTTGTTCAGGCCCTTTAAGATAATGCATCAATCTTAAGCAGCCCTCCATCTCACCAAGACGGAATTTCTTCTAGTTTTTTCAATAAGATGTTGTGGGGACTCCTCTTACCTGCATTGAGCTTTGGGCTGGGTAGCCTGGTGTGTGGCTGGACTGGGACCCCTCACTTCTCAGAGGGGAACTCTGCAGCCGAGACATCCCTCCTGATTCTTAGTCAGTGCACATGGGTTGGTAACCAGTCTATTTCACATTTCACCCCTCCTACCAGTTTCAACATGACTTCTTTATATCCTTAGTTGTAGTAGTTATGTTCAGCTAGTTTTCAGGTGGTTCTCAAGGGGTGGTTCTAGAGGCCTAGGTCATATTCAGGTTTAATTTTTTGGCAAGAATACTTCATTGGTGTTCCCTATTTCCTCTTCCGTTACATTGTGTGATACATAATAATATCTGGTTGTCTCTTAAATTATATTTTGAAGCAGATAGGCCATAGACATTTAAACCTAATCAATGCATTAGGTATAGATAAAATTTGTTATGATTATTAGAATTGTTAGGGCATAGAAGGGTTAAATAGTAGATTGATAGACCAAATTATGTAATTAGTCATCACAAATATCTGTTCTACCCTTGGAGGTTTTTGGTATGCTTATTTCTATACCAGGTAGGCTCATATAGTCTTTAATAAAAGGATAATGTTGTTAGCTGAGCCTAAACTATTGGAAGGAGACTCTACATGGCACATATGAGGAGACAGGCAGTGTAGATAATCCTTTTTGATGGTCAGAAGTACGTTAGCATTCCATTGCAAAAGTTATTGGAAAAAAAAGTTTATGTGTATTGTGGAGATTTTTATCCAGTAAGGAAATGACTTATGGAAAGGAATTCAAAGGGTAAGATGTTTCTGGATGCATTTTAGTCCTAGAGATATGAATAGTGGGGCCTAATAGGAGTAGGCGTTTGGGAATCCAGTTTTGTTTTAACATTTTTATTAATACTATGGGAATGGGGAGTACAAAAGTTATCAGGTGTACAGAAGATATAAAATCCTTGTGGGTAGTAAAATGCAGCGTTGGTGGGGATCAGTTGTAGAAATAATTCATGAAACTTTGATCACGAAAATTAGAGGGCAAGTGGGTTTAACTGTATAAAGATAATCTATACTATATTTAGAAGACAGTGGGCCTGGAAGTCATCATATAGTTCTCTTGAAAATAGTATCTCATATAAGTAAAATGGACATAATAATGTACCACCAAGAGTATTATCAAACAAATAGAAAATGTTAGTCCTCTGAAATGAAGTTTCTGCACTCTGGTTACTGCATTTCAAGAAAGATATAATTGGCGTGGAGAAGATACAGGAACGGATAATTTAAATGATCAAAGCAATGAAGGCATTGAAGAATGGACTAAAAGATTAGTAGAGTTCAACCTAAAAAATATAGTGAATGAGCAGTAATATGTTTAAGTACTAAAATTAAAACAGTAGTGAAAGGATTACAGATTTATCTCTAGATTATTATATAGTAGAACTAGAACATCTACTTTTTGATATGAAGGAGGTAAATTTTGAACAAATAAAAGTATTATTTTACAAGTATAAAATGTATATAACAAGTATAAAATGTTTGCAACCCATTTCCCTAAGAGGTAATAGAGCATGAACATGAATAATTTAAAATGTTGCATGTTAGTAGGTTGTTATGGGAAATCAGAATGTTTTGAGGTACAGAACATCCCAGGCCTTTGAAGTTGATCTGATTTGAATCAACAAGGCTAATTCACAAGCTGTCCCTTACTGCTTCTGCTAAGACAAAATACTGGGGCTAGATGAACAAGTTTTTTGTTTTTGTTTTTTTACTAGTTTTAAAATCAGACAGGTTTTCTGATTATGAAAAAAAGCCTAATGTAAACATTAGTGCTAAGAAGAGGTTTTAAATATATTTTGGGCTGGAGTTCTTTTAGAGTATCAAAAAGAAGATATGTGTTTGTTGCATTCTTTCTGACTTTGATCAAGGGCTGCTTTTACTTAAAATCCAGAGAATATTACTATGAATATAAACTCATTGCCTTTTTTGTTTGTCTTCTTCTGCAAAAATATTTTGTAATTCCTGATATTATTACCTTGGCAATTCAATAACAAGGAATTGGAATTGTTTTCATTTCCTTTTGCATTCCTTTTTCAGTCATGTGGAAACCTTTTGATGTTTTAGACAAAAGAGATTGCATATAAATATTTAACCGAAAATACTTCTTTTTCCAAAATGCAATTTTTTTGGAAGGCAAGGGACTCTAGTCAGTCTTAAATTTTAATGATTTTAAAATATTGAGCCCAAGGTTATTAGGAATGACAATAATGCCTTCTTTCGTTTTTGATGACTTTTATAAGGTTGCTCATCAGTTTGAAAGTTCTTATTTTCAAATAGATAATAAAAACATGGCACAAAATGTAAAAATTACAGAAAGATAGACATTGAAAAGTAAAGTATTTTCCCACTCTTGTCACTAGTCACCTAGTTCTCTTCTTAGGCTATCACTATTATCAGTTTATTGTATAATTCCCCAGAGATACTATAGGATTATACAAACATATGTGTATGTATATGTTTGTTTTGTTTTATTTACACAAATGGTACCATTATTGTACACACTAAGGTCTATCTGTTTTCATTGAAAGTAAATTTTGGTGATTGGGCAGTGAACAATCTAATTCTTTTTAACAACTGTATGATATTTTACTGGATGACCAAAATTTGTTTAACCAGTCCCTGTTGGGTTGTTTCCAGGGTTTTGGTATTATAAATAATGCTTCAGTGAATTTTCTGTGTTGTTTCACATACACACACACACACACACACACACACACACACACTGCACATATTTTCATATTATAATTATTTCTAACAGCCTGTAGTATAAAATGTTATATGCATTAGTCACAAAAATTCCAGTAGGGGTCAGTGTTTTTTTTACCTTATTGTAATAAAAATGAAATTCCATAATGATGCATCTGAGTATAACTTTTTTGTAGTCGAACATATAAAATGCATTATAAGAGTTTCAGTTGGTGTTTTTACTCTCTCATTTTGCTTTGAAGATTTTGGTGCCTCTGGTTTTGCTACGACAAGTGCTTTTGGAGTTGACAAGACGTGGTCAAGAATCTGTGAGCGATTTGCTGCAGTTTGGTGTGACTTATTTGGAGGACTATGCAGCAGAGTACATCATTCAGCAAGGTGGCTGGGTATGAACTGTATTTTTAAAAAAATTTTTTCTTTAAAAAATAAGCCCTTGTGGATGTCGGTTTTAACAGCATAGATTTAATATTATCATTTAATATTTAATACTGATTACATGATGATCAATGGAAAGGCTATTCTACATTTTAAGTTAAACTACTAAGATTTTACCTATAGTAAATTGACATGTGATACTTTTAAGTAGTTCTAATTATGAAACATTTCATACTAAAAAAAATATGTTAAAAACTAAGGATTAAGGAATAATGAAATTAACACCTATGTATCTATTATCCCGGTTTAAGAACACAGACAGCACTCTTGAATTTTCTTAATGTGCCCCTCCTAGATTTCAGCATGCTTCTATCTACTTCACAAGGGTAACTCCTATTTTTTTAAATTATAGTTTACACACACACACACACATGCACATATGTAGTTTACATACACACACACACGCACATATATATCCCTAGACAATATATTATTTTGTATATTTTGAACTTTATTTAAATAATGTCATGTTCTGTGTATTTTTTCTGTAACTTGCTTTTTTCACTCAACGTTATATTCTTGAGATTTATCTAGGTCATCGTTTCTCAACCTTTTTATTCATTATCATGCCCCTAAAAGGTCATTTTTAGACATTCTTATCCTAATCATCTCCCTTCTCCCTCCTTGAAATTTTAATACCACAGATATAAGTCTGTCTACTGTGGCCTGTTGGAGGACCACAAGCCATTGTAATATCTAAGATTTCCCCCACCTCTTCAAACCACTTTGACCTTCAAAATCATCGCCGTTGAGAATGCATGATCTAGTTTGATGTGTTGGCAGGTGTTTAGTATTCCATCTTGTAAATATGTCCCAATTTATCTATTACCTTATCAGTAGACATTTTCACTTTTTTGCTATTGTAAACATGTTGTTATGAACATTCTTACACATATGTACAAGAGCTGCTCTGTGTATATACTTGGGAGTAGAATTTCTGGGTCCAAGAGTATAGACATATTCGAGTTTACAAGATAATGCCAAAGTGTTTTCCAAAGTGGTTTTCCAACTTAAACTTTGTCAGCAATATATAAGAATTTTCGTTGCTCTACATCTTCCCTAACATTTAATGTTATCAGACTTATTTTTAAAATCATTTATTAAAATAAGATTATTTTGGAATAATTTTAGATTTACAAAAGTGTTATAAAGTGCTCCCATATACCATTCAACCAGTTTCACCCAGTATCAGCATCTTATATAACTATGATATCTTCGTCAGATTGAGTGCATTCCATATTGATTTTATATCCAGCAAATTTGTTAAACTCTCTTATTAATTATGATTATTTCTAGGTACCCTTGGGTTTTCTACATAGAAAAGTACTCTGTCTGTTGAATAATGACAGATTTTTTCTTTGATGAGTCTATCTTTTTAAAAATTTTATTTCACTAATCAGGATCTCCAGTACAATAATAATAGACATAATGTTAGTAGGCATTCTTGCCTTTTCCTTTTGTTGAAATGAGTGCTTTTAATTGTTTCACCATTTAGTTGTATCAATCTCAATGAATGAGGCCTATTATTTTTGTTTGGTCTTGGTTTTCAAGGTATGCTGGCTTCATAAAAGAAGTTAGAGTTGGGAAGAATGTTTTCTCTCTTTCTCTACTTGGGAATGGTTTATATGAGATTTAAATTATTTGTGCTTTGCTTCATACATCATGCCTGTAAAACCACATGGTATTTCCTTTGAGGAAAGATTTCTGTTTTTTCTTGCTAATTTTTGATAATTTTTTAGGATATTATCCCTAAATTTTCAATTTTGTTGACTTAGAGCTGTTCATAATACCCTTTTATGTTTTGAAAGAGGTTACAGTAGATTTTTATTTCTTAATTCTTTTATATTACTTACTTTTTAAAAAAGTCTTATTTTGGAGAATTTTAAACATACATGAAAATGGACAAGATAGTATAATCAACCCCAGTCACTTAGCCCTAATAATCATTAACTCATTGCCAGTTATGCTTTATTCACGGCCTGATTACTTTCCCTCTTAATATTATTTTGAAGCAAAATCCAGACATTATATAATTTTATCTATAAAAAAATTTAGTATTTCTATCTAAAAAAATAAAGGCTCTTTGTTTATTTTTGATCAATACCATTATCACATCAAAAATTAAAAAATTATTTCTTCATATCAAATGTCCTATTAGTATTCAGATTTCCAGATGTCTCAAAAATGTTTAATCTCTGCATCATATGGAGCAATATCTCCCTCTTAATTCCTATTATTACTTCTTACATATATAAAATAATTATTTATATAAAATAATTTTTATTTACTTACATAAAATAA